TTATTACTTAGTGGGAGGAGTAGGGAAAAGTTAGTTTCCTCTCTATTCCTGGAAGAGGCAGTCTCCAATGTGTCTCTCTACAATGTATAATTTTCTTAACACACTTAAATGTGTTTCTGAAAACATTTAGCTTTTGTTTTTTAAAAATCTGTTCTGAAACTATCTAAATGGAGCCTTCTAAATGGAACATTCAGCAATTTAACATTTAAATTTAACTCCTGATACAATTATATACACTGTACTGTCTTATTATGGGCTTTCAGCTTGTTACCCCTTTTATTTATTTTTTTTCCTTAATTTTCTCATTTGTTTTTTCATCTACCTGTTTAGAAATTATATACTCCATTCCTATTTTTTTATAATGACAATATGCTTGTTTAACCTATTAAAGGCTATATTTATTTAATACTTCTGGGGGCTTCTCTGGTGACTCAGTGGTGAAGAATCTGCCTGCCAATGCGGGAGACATGAGTTAAATCCCTGGTCCAGGAGGATCCCATATGCTGTGTAGCAGCTAAGCTCCTATGCCACAACTATTGAGCCTGGACTCTAGAGCCCGGGAACCACAACTAGTGGGCCCACAGCCTGCAATGACTGAAGCCTGTATGTCCTAGAGCCCCTGCTCCACAAAAGAAGCCGCCGCAATGAAAAGCCTGCACGCGACAGCGAAGCGTAGCCCCCACTTGCAGCAACTGGAGACAAGCCTGTGCAGCAGCGAGGCCCCAACACAGGCGAAATAAGCAATAAATGTTGTTATTGTTGCTTAGTCACCAAGTTGTGTCCTACTCTTTGAGACCCCACAGACTGCAACATGCCAGTCTTCCCCATCTTTCGCTATCTCCCCGAGTTTGTTGTATTGGTGATGCCATCCAACCCTCTCATTCTCTGTCACCCTTTTCTCCTTCAGCCTTCAGTCTTTCCTAGCATCAAGATTTTCTTTTTTTTTTCCCCAAAGAGTCAACTGTTCTCATCAGGTGGCCAAAGTATTGGAGCTTCAGTTTCAACATCAATCCTTCCAATGAGTATTCAGGGTTTATTTCCTTTATGATTGACTGGTTTTATCTCCTTGCTGTCCAAGGCACTCTCAAGAGTCTTCTCCAGCACCGCAGTTCGAAAGCAAAATTCTTTGGCGCTCTGCCTTCTTTATGGTCCAGCTCTCACATCTATACATGACTACTGGAAAGACAATAGCTTTGACTGTACGGACCTTTGTCGGCAAAGTGATATCTTTGCTTTTAAATACACTGTCTAGGTTTGTCATAGCCTTCTTGCCAAGAAGCAATCATCTCCGAATTTCATGGCTGCAGTCACTGTCTGCAGTGATTTTAGAGTCCGAGAAGAGGAAATCTGTCACTGCTTCCACCTTTTCCCCTTTTATTTGCCATGAAATGATGGGACTGATGCCATGATCTTAGTTTTTTTGATATTAAGTTTTAAGCTGGTTGTTTCACTGTCCTCTTTCACCCTCATCAAGAAGTTCTTTAGTTCCTCTTTACTTTCTGTCATTAGAATGGTATCATACATATATCTGAGGTTGTTGATATTTCTCCTGGCAATCTTGATTCCAGCTTGTAACTCATCCAATCTGGCATTTCTCATAATGTGCTCTGTGTGTAAGTTAAATACATAGGGTGACAATAAACAGCCTTGTCATATTCCTTTCTCGATCCTGAACCAGTCAGTTGTTCCATACAAGGTTCTAACTGTTGCTTCTTGACCCACATGCAGGTTTTTTTTTTAATAAATAAAATTATTAAAAATAATTAATACCTCTTGCCTTCTCAGATAACATAAATGTTATTAGACTCCTTAAACCTATTTACCTTTTCTTTCATTAATTTTTTTGGTAGTTTTATATTTTAATTGTCTTATTTATTCTATAACACATTGTTATTATAGGTTTGAATATTAATATTTATTTAACTGTGCTAATCAATTTACGTATTATTCATTTCTTCTTAGAGCTCAGACCATTCTTCTGTGATCACTTGCCTTCTTCCTGAAATGCATGCTACCAAATTTCTTTTAGTGAAAAACAGCTGAGTATAGATATCTTGGATTCTGTTTTTCTGAAAATGTTCTGTTTTGTCTCCGTTCCTGATAGATATTTTTGCTAGGTACGTAAGTGGGTAATCTGATCTCAATCTATTAAATAATCAGTCTAATTTCTTTGCTTTGTTCTTCATCAGGTTTACTATGGTGTGTCTAAGTTGGTTTTTTTGGTCTTTTTGCATCTGTTTATTAGAGTGCTTCAGTGGTTCTGGACAAGTTTTTAACCACCATCACTTTAAATATTACCTCTTCTTTCTATGTCTCACTTTGACACTAAATAGTTGTATGTAATGTTTTTTCCCTTTGTTTATATCTCTTAACCTTCTTTCTAATGTCTCATCTCTTTGTCTGTCCATGCTATCTACAGTCTGGATAATTTCTTCATTTTCCAGTAGATATTTTCCAGTTCACAAATTCTCTTCTCATTTATTTTTTGTTAAACCTCTCTACTGTATTTTAAAATCTCACATCTAGAAGTCATATTTATTTGTTTTAAATATGCTCTGTCTCTCTCACATGTATTTCCTAGCTTTAAAAAGTTTCTTTAAGAGCATTAAACATAATTATTTCATAGTCTCTGCCTGAAAACACCCCTTCTTATTCAAAGTCCTGCAGTCTATTTTCTTTCTGCTGATTCTCAATCATGATACTTCTTTCTTTTTGTTTCTAGTTTCTGGTTGTGAGCTGCTGATGTTCTCTGAAATGAGAGGAGTTTCTTTGAGAGGATTTTCATTTGCTTTTGTCTGACAACCAGGGAAAATTCAATAATTTTCTTCCAAACATGAGGAAGTGTACATTTGTCCTGTGAATGTTGGTAAGGATTCGTTTGTGGTTCCAAATTCTCAGTGATGATTTTTTCCCTTCATTCAGCACTAAGTTTTGAGATGCACTAAGTTTTCAGGTCTCTAGGGATGCAGGGCAAAAGGTTATATTTGTTTTTCTTTCTTTCTTCTTTTTAGTTTAGCCATAGTTGATTTATAATCAACTGTGTTAGTTTCTTTCTTTCTTTTTTTTTTAAACTGTGTTAGTCTCAAGGGTACAGCTTCAGGTTCTTTTCCATTATAGATTATTGCAAGATGTGAATATAGTTCTGTGTGCTGTACAGTAAATTCTTGGTGTGTATCTATTAATCCCATATTCTTAATTTATCCCTCCCACTTTCCCTTCCCCCTTCAGTAAACAAGTTTGTTTTTTATGTCTGTGAGTCTGTTTCTGTTTTGTAAATAAGTTGATTTGCATTATGTTTTTTAGATTCCACATGTAAGTACTATCATAAGTAATAAGTATAATAAGTATAAGTATTAATACTTAATAAGTATTAATAAGTATTAATAAGTAATAAGTATAATAAGTAAGCATTATCTTTCTTGGCCTGACTGACTTCACTTAATGTGATAATTTCTAGGTCTATCCATGTTGCTGCAAATGGCATTATTTCATTCTTTTTATGGATAAGTAATATTCCATCATATATATGTATCACATCTTCTTAATGCATTCATCTGTTGATGGACATTTAGATTGCTTCCACATCTTGGCTATTATAAATAGTGCTGCTATGAACATTGGTGTACATATATCTTTTTGGATTACAGATTTCGTCTTTTCCAGATATATGGCCAGGAGTATGACTGCTAGATCATATGGTAACTCTATTTTTAGTTTTTTTAAGGAACCTCCAGACTTTTTCTATAGTGGCTGCACCAATTTACATTCCCACTGGCAGTGTGGGAGAGTTCCCTTTCTCCAGTATATTTGGTTGACTGTTCAGTAAGAATTTATCTCTTTGGTGTTACAAGGTGTTACAATCTCAAATATCTTATGAGTTTATGAAAACTGAAGTTTAATTTTAGCTAGTTCAGCAAATGATCTCAGGGTGAAAGTTGGCTTCCGTGTTCTACCTACATCTTTGAAGTTTAGTTCTCAATTAGAATTTTTTTTTACTTGAGAAGTTGTTTTATTCTTGCCAGCTTATTGTTTCTGTTATGGATATTTAAACCTATTTATTATACTCAGGATGATTAGTTATTTTCAGTCAAAAATTGTTCCAGGTACTAAGCCTGCCATATTACCAGAAACAGAAGTAAAACCATATTTGAATTTGAAAGATAATAATTTTACTGGCCCTATTTGGAGCACATTCTTTCCACTGGTCAAGATTTTCTTTATTGTCTTATGTCTTAACTTATGGTGATCCCTTTCATTATTTTTCTTTTTATTCTCCTTTGCCTATACAAAGTGTGCAAATTCTGATGCATAAATGTGCTATGTGTATATTTCTGACCTCTGGGAAGACATTGTAATAGCTGAAAAGTAAGGGCACTTATTTTGTCTTTTTAATTCATTTTAAAGTACCCAATGAATCTTTGATTTAGTATATATTTGGCTAAGCAGGATCTTCCATAAGGTTTTAATAGTATTATTTTAGCAGTATTCCTAAGTAATGATAACATTTGCTCAAATAAGTTAGAAATACATATTTTTAAACACCAAAATAAAGTTGATTTAGTTTCCTCACTTAAGAAACTGAAAGTGTTGATTAAAATCTTAATTTGAAAATCTCTAAAATCTGTTCCTATATAAACACTGGAATGTGTAGGTTTTACTTCACTGTAAGATTTTATAGAGGCATTAGATTTGTTCAAAAACCTGAAGCATAAGCCACTTAAAACAGAACTTAGATGCTTATGTTACTAGAAACTTGATATAACTTCTGAAAGGATGTTTTTTCAAAAACTCATTCATCATAAAATGCTCAAAGTTCATTCATCATGAGTACTTTATGTCATTCTTAAAAAAAAAAAAAAAAACTTTTTCAGAGATTCAAATTTCTGCAAGGCGCATTGTGATATGTCCATATGGTACATTTTGCAGCTAACAAAAGGAGAAGGAAATAGCATCCTAATCTGTTTCATTCATTCATCTGCTCTCTTTATTTCATTTGGGAGGATTTTCAACAGAAAAAGCTTCAGTGATGGTGGAAGCTGCAGAAATAATGTTGGGAATGCATTATTGGATGCAAATTTTGGAGAAATGTTAGGAGGGTAAGTAATTCTTCCTGTTTTGCTTTGCATAACTAAGTCTATGTTCCTATCAGAAAGAGAGAGAGGTTTTCCTATAGTATTTTCTGTAAGGGGGAAAAAAGCCCCAGGAATTTTATTTTTTGCAGTGGGGGGTTCAGGTTAAAGTGTTAACTTAGAGTATTTGGGTAAACTTTTATAGAAAATGATATAACTCTTAAAGTACACCAAGGCAGTTTAATGAGCAGTTAAACCAGCACTGTCCAATAAAAATATATTTCAAAGCAGATATGTACTTTTAAACTAATAGTCACATTAAAAAAGATAAAGCAAACAGGTAAAAGTAACTTTTATACTGCATTTTATTTTATCTAATATATCCAAAATAGTATCATTTCAGTGTATAAAGAATAAAAAATTATTGAAAGGTTTTACTTTTTTTGTACTAAGTCTTCAAAATCCAATATAAATTTTATACTTACAGAACACCTGAACTAATATGGAAATATTTTATCTGCATTTAGAGTTCATAAAACATACAATAGAAAAAATAGATTCATATCTAAGTTATCCCAAAATACTTAAAATTTTCTAACAACTGAAATGAATAAGTTTTGAAATTTACATCTAAATAAATTAAAATGACAGAAAATCCAAATCACACTAGTTACATTTTAACTATTCCACAGCCTCATGTAGCTAGAGGCTGCTGTATTGGACAACACAGCTCTAAGCCAGAGTTAGATTTGAGAAAAGAAACCTCATTTAATATATACAAATGAGGTTAGCCTCGTGTTGCTGATGATGACTTAGCAAACTAATATAATTTATATAAAGTTGTGTAAACAGAGAAATTTTTATAGTGATCTTGTCCTCAAGACTAAAAATTCTATGCTAATTTTGGCAGGAACATAGATGCAGTGACTTGTTCCAGATTTGCTATTTCCAGGCTAATCAGAGTAAGAGCTCACAGTCAGCAACAAACAAGCAAAATCTAGGTTAGCCAAGGGGCTTGGGTCAGAACCCCAGGGTTCAGAGTGAGGGGTGGGGTGAGGCAGTAGCAGTAATGTAAAAGAGACAAGAGGTTTGCCTTTAACCCCACAAGGCTCACGAAGCTCAGTCTTGTAAACACCTGCTGCCCAATCAGCCTCTGTCAGGTCCAGGGAAACATGTGCAGCTGGTAGGAAACCAAAATAATCAAATAATTGCACCATTCATTCATCTATCTATTTATCTAGTCGGTCATCTACCTATCTATCCACTTTATGAAGAATATTGTGCCTTCTACGCTTTGGACTTGTGGTGACTTATCCAAGATCACCAGAAAAGGTATTTGATAGTCCAGCATTACATGTAGGATTTTGAACTGGCAAGAAGAGACTATACACACACCGGTTAAAATTCTCCATTTGTGTAGCCATGCTACAGTATGTAACGAGAGTGAGGTTATTTTATGGAGCAGGGGCAGAATGCAAGTGTCTTTGCATAGCTTCTCCCTTCTGCTCATTCCATGTTGGGCAAGATGTAGCCCATGACAATTTCTTCTTAGCTAAGATCTTGCCAGAATAAGAATGAGTATTGGTTTTCTGTCAGGCACAACTCTTTTTACTGAAGTTTACAACACTGTTTTAGAAGAATTACATGAACACTGCTGGTACTTCCATTTAAAGGAATATAGGGAACTTCTCTTGTGGTCCAGTGGTAAGAATCTGCCTTGCAATGCAGGGGATATAGGTTTGATCCCTGGTCTGGGAAGATCCCGCATGCCATGGAGTGACTAAGCCCATTTGCCACAACTACTAAGCTTGAGTGCCTAGAGCCCGTGCTTCATACACACACACAAAAAGATGGTAGGGGGGTGGGGTGGGGCGGAGTTTCCCGAGTGGTGTAGTGGTAAAGAATCCTCCTGCCAATGTGGAGACACAGGAGATATAAGTTCAATCCCTGGGTCAGGAAGATCCCCTGGAGTAGGAAATGGCAATCTACTCCAGTATTCTTGCCTGGGAAATTCCATGGACAGAGGAACCTAATGGGCTGTAGTCCATGGGGTTGCAAAGAGTCGGACACCACTTAGGGACTAAGCATGCACATACTACAGACATTAGAGTTTTTCAGTTCTTGAACCAACAAGGGCATCAGCAACTGGACATACTTGTCATTGCCCTAGACACTCTGAACTCTGATCTCAGTGACCTGCAAAGTCTATTTCTCCATTGATATTGCTCAATTTTGTTGATGTTGTTTCTCCAACCAGTTCCTTTTTATTCTTTGACCAGAATGTACAGTAGAATCTGGGAGAAAGAAGGTGGGGGAGGACCTGGATTAACTAAATTTTTTCTTAATCACCTGGCAAAACCAGCATTCAAAATGGAAATTAAAATCAACATGAGATAGAAAATTACTTTTCTTAAACACTTGAGTTGGTCTACCTAAGATTACTTATCAGTTCAGTTCAGTTCAGTTGCTCAGTTGCGTCCGACTCCTTGTGACCCCATGGACTGCAGCACACCAGGCTGCCCTGTCCATCACCAGCTCCTGGAGCTTGCTCAAACTCATGTCCATTGAGTCAGTGATGCCATCCAACCATCTCATCTTCTGTTGTCCTCTCCTCCTCCCACCTTCAATCTTTCCAGCATCAGGGTCTTTTCAAATCAGTCAGTTCTTCAGATCAGGTGGCCAAAGTATTGAAGTTTCAGCTTCAGTGTCAGTCCTTCCAATGAATATTCAGGACTGATTTCCTTTAGGATTGAGTGGTTTGATATCCTTGTAGTCCAAGGGACTCTCAAGAGTCTTCTCCAACACCACAATTCAAAAGCATCAATTCTTCAGTGCTCAGCTTTCTTTATAGTCCAACTCTCACATCCATACATGACTACTGGAAAAACCATAGCTTTGACTAGAATGGACATTTGTTGACAAAGTAATGTCTCTGTTTTTTAATATGCTGTCTAGTTTGGTCATAACTTTTCTTCCAAGGAGCAAGCGTCTTTTAATTTCATGATTGTAGTCACCATCTGCAGTGATTTTGCAGCCCAAGAAAATAAAGTCTCACAGTTTCCATTGCTTCCCCGTCTATTTGCCATGAAGTGATGGGACCAGATGCCATGATCTTGGTTTTCTGAATGTTGAGTTTTAAGCCAACTTTTTCACTCTCCTCTTTCACTTTCATCAAGAGGCTCTTTAGTTCTTCTTCGCCTTCTGCCAAAAGGGTGGTGTCATCTGCATATCTGAGGTTATTGATATTTCTCCTGGCAATCTTGATTCCAGCTTGTGCTTCATCCAACCCGGCATTTCACATGATGTACTCTGCGTATAAGTTAAATAAGCAGGGTGACAATATTTATACTTGTTCCCAATTGGGATTGTCCACAATTTTCAAGTATCCTCATGATCACCCACCACTACATCATATTGATATTAAAGCCTGATCCAAAATCATCTAGAGGCAATAGGTATTTGCCTGTGAGGGATTTGGTGTTGTAGAAGTGAGAAGGACTCAGAAATTACTAAAGATTTCAATGAAAGTTTTAGCATGAAAGAGAACTATATAATGTCTTAAATTAACCTTAAATTCTCTAAAATTAAGAGAAATCCTAGATACAGAAGAACTGATAAAGGAAGAAAAGGAGAAATGTGGAAGGTGATCTTTGAGGCTATTAGGAACTCTCAATTTCTAAAATAGTTAAATTTCTTCCTGGCTAAGAGAAGAGTCCTTCCAGCAACATCAGCTAAACTAGACTACCCTTCAATTTGTCTGCATTTAAGGGAGAGGCATCTACCACAATTTATTTTTCATTGTCAGCAATTATATTTTCCAAATTCTTGTTCTTTCTCACTTAAGGTAGAGTTTGTAAAGCATCCATTTTCACAGGTTAGAGTCATTACAGCCCAGAGGCAGAGAAAAGGATTTTGGATTTTGAAAATCTAGGCTTTTGAATATCAAAAGCAATGATCCTATAGGACTTGGCTAACAACAGATTTGGAGGAATATACATTTTAATAATAAGAATCTATTTCCACTAACTCAAAGACTAAGCACGTTATTCCCCCCCCCCCAAACTAGAAGCAAAGGAGCAAAAAAAAATCTATAGAACCCCAAGACAGTTTAGGTTCTGTTGAGTCTTTGTGATGAACGCTGTGTTCTCCATGTGTTAAGCAAAGACCTGAGAGATGCAATATAACAAAATGACATGGCTTGAACAGTATGAAAGTAGTGGAGGTGGTGGGAGAGGGTTAGATACCAAAGGTATTTTTGAACTAAGAGATAACAGTTTGTAAAAAGATGATTGGATGAATGTTATAAGAATAAAATAAAAATAAAAGAGGAGTCAAAGTGGCCTCAAGGTTTTGACTTGAGCTATAGGAAAGAACAACTGTTATCTGAGATAAGAAACCACAGGCAGAGCAGAAGGTTTGGGAGGGGAGAGTGTGAAGATCAGTAATTTAATTTTGGCAAGTTAAATATTAGATGGCCATTAGCCATCCTAATAGACTAGTTAAACAAGTAGGTGGTAAGGTAGGGATTAGAGATATGACTTAGGGAGTTATTGTCATACAGATGATGAGACTGGATAGATTTGCCAAGGAAGCAAGTGTAGGGAAAACGAGGCCCAAGGAACAAATGCTGTGTGAGTTTAAAGAGGTTTGATGTATGTTGAAGAAAAGGGTACAGGAGAGAGGACTGGGGAGCAATCAGTGAGGTAAAAGGAACATCAGGAGTCCTGAATACATACTGAGTCAACAACCCCGCACCACAATGGGACTGTGTTCTGCTGAATCTACTTTACTTGAAAGAAGCCATTCTTTAGAATGAGAAGATGAAGAAAAATGGACACATATTGACAGGACTCTCCTTTTTCCTTCCCCCACTCTCCATGCCTCTTGGTTTCCCATGAAGATATGAGGCTTTGCCGTCTGATTATATCTTACAATACCCTCAGGTCTGGTTCAGCATCTGCTCTTGACGGATCTATCTTTTTTGTTTCCTGCCTGTCTTTTCCATGAGTCACTGGTGCAATTTTCTGTGCATTAGCAGAGGTCTCTTGTAATTCAGGTCCAAAACACTTCAGTCTTTCATGTTTTGTAATTGTCGCATCTCACCATTTCTGGAAATTTTTGCAGCTCTTGAACTGTTACTTGTCATGAAGCTTTCTAAACATATTTCAAAGAAGAATAGCCTATTCTTGATGGATTTTCTGCTTCTGGAATGAACTTGGTTTGGTTAAGATGGATAATGTTTCTCATTCTTTTTCCTTATTGTAACTTCCTGTTTAGGAATGCTTGAATTCTGTGTATGAATGGCTCATGTTAACAGATGATTACCAAATCTATTGATTTAGTATCTGAATTGAACAATCTTTCAAATGAGATAGATTATTTAGGAAGTCAATGAGGATTGGAATGCATACCATTTTCTAGTATGTGAAGGAGGAGTACATTTTCTGAGTAAAAGAGCTATTGAGACCAGGGACTCAAGCGTATCCATCATAAGCCTTAAAGGTAATCACATGGATTCTGAAACTTGTGAGCAGATTACTTCCAGGGAACAGATCACCATTTACTGGCTGACTGATAAGGCAAAACTGGTAAATACCAAAAGTATTCCCTTTCTTGCAACCCTTTGGATTTCCTCTGTGCTTCATTTTGGCCTTTTTTGACATTGGAAAATAATAAATTTAAGAGGCAACAATTTTAAATAAGAATAGAGCCATTTCTTTCCTTTTTTTATGCACAAATTGAGTGATAAATATATTCAGAACACAGGTAACTGGCTCTGAAAATAGCAAAAATAATATTTTTATCTTTCATAGTGTCATTTATTTGTGTATTACAGATTTGTGGCTTTCATACAACAGCATATAACAGTGTTTTCCTTTGTGCTGTGGAAAGGATTATGTCTGTCTTATGTGATCTGTACAGTGAGTGTACATGTGTGTGTTCTCAGTTGCTCAGTCATGTCCAGCTCTTTGTCTCCCTGTGGACTGTAGCCTGCCAGGCTCCTCTGTCCATGGGATTTACCAGGCAAGAGTGGGTTGCCATTCCCTCATCCAGGGGATCTTCCTGACAATTGAACCTGCATCTCATAAGTCTCCTGCATTGGCAGACGGATTCTTTACTACTAGCACCACCTAGGAAGCCCCAATCTATACAATACCTATGCCTAATATTCTACTCATATTTGGATTAAAATGTAACAATGATGATATTAGGCTTAGCTAGATTAATGATATTTAATATTTCATAGAGTATAATAGATATTTATTGGTCAAAAGCAGAGAAGTTTTCTTTTTTTGATCAATATTTCTACACAAGTAAATGATTAGAGTGACTTTTCTATCTTTGCAGAACTGCCTTCAAGTCTTAGTAAAATCTTTAGCTGTATATTGTGCACTGTGACATAGTCTATAGCACTGGAATCTGACCATTATGGTATTTGCCAAGCAGGCACAAAGGTTAATTGAAAATCTGTAATAGCTACAATACTATACAGCAAAATCCTCATAGCTATTTTCTTCATTTATAAAGGCTTGAGCCTGTCTTATCATTAATGTCAGAAGCAAAACTGATTCCTTTGAACGAGATTTTAGAGCACAAAGTCTGCAAAAGAGGAAAGAGTTGCTGAATGTATATTGCTTTCCCAGCGGTGCACAGTTCCTTTCATAGGCTTACTTTAAAATGCCTTCTTTACATCTGTCTAAAATATACATAAGTATGTGCTTGGTAGTCAAGTAAGAATTCAGTTGTAAAACTAACATGAAGTATAACTGAATCATGCAATTTGGATTTTTTTCCCCCTGCAAATAACCAACTTTTAATTAGAATTTTCAGGTAAAATTGCAAGACAAATATTCTAATTTTTGCATAGAAGAATAAAAAAAAATTTGTGACAATAAAAAAAGGATAGAATTAAACCCAGAGCCCACAAAACTTGAGCCATGATGCTCTCACTGATTTTCTCACATAATACTCAGTGACTTGACCCTCTGGGCTGGGCTGTCAATTGAGACTTGAAAGGCTCTGATTTTGAGGTTATTTGTTTAGTGACATTTGATCTTGCGTAAACCACAGAACCGTCTCTGCTCCATTTTCTCATAGGTAGAAGAAAGATGATCCTTGACACCTACTCAGCTCATAAGGTGTTATTAAAGTAAAGTTAACGTGGTATGAAAGAGAATTTTTGGTATCTTAAAAACAGATTGTATCTAACTAAAAGTCTCTATTACTGTTAGGTCATTGCTGTTGACTTTTTGTGGATATGGGAAAAATTCTTGCTGCCTGTACTTTCTCTTTAGTTCTTTGAAAAACACTTAAACAACAGTATTCTCTTTATTTTGCACAGAATAACTGATGTGGAATATATAAACTCAGGCAGAATTGCTACTTGTTCCATTCTATTAATTAATTAAGGATTTTTCTTACTCGTCTGCTGGAATTTGAAAAATATTTGCTTCATTTAAAAGATCTAGCTGGCTCCTGTCATCAGTTTGAATTTTGAAGTCTAACTTCACAGCAGAGAGCCTGCCATGTAAAATTTTAAGTCGTAAGTTCTCATTGTATGCTAACAAGTGATTATCTTTCACAGTATAACTATGAGAGGAGTCTTAATGAATGAATGTCATAACTGCTTTTTCCTGTTGTGATGGAGAGATGGAAGCTATACAGATGAGGTAATCACTCAGAGAAAGAGAGAAAGCAAATAAAACATCACCGAGGACTACATTCGAGAGTTCTCGACAGTTGCTTCCATCTTTCAGTTCACCCTTGCTGCTTAAAACATTGTGATGCCTTTGTGCAATTACTGCCTATTTTGAGTGTTCTCTGAGATTTTCAGTTCTTTGCTACTGCTTTACTACTGAGAATTGCTTTCTCTTGTGATACTAAGATTATTTCTCATTGTGCTTTTCCTTACAACTTCATAACTGTAAAATTTGTTCCCCTCAGCGGAAACTAGTTCCCTGTTATTTTCCCATCTTCACTTATTTCTAATATATATACTAGTCAGCCAGGCAGCCAGTAAAATGAGAGCCCTGTTGGCATCATTATATGTGAGATTTTCTGTGGGAAAAGATTTTATTTGACCCCCCCCTTTTTTTCATTCTAAGGTGTCTGAGATGAGGATATGAGGCACAAAGCTTGAACTCGATTTTTAAGTGTAAAAATATAGGAAAAGGCACTAGCTCAAAACTGGAGGAGACCAAAATGCCATCTTAATTCTAAGAGCTGAATATAGCTTTCAGATTGAATTCTAAGGGTTCTTCATTTTGGGGTCAGCTTAGCTTAGAGAACAGAAGGCACCATATGGAATGGCCTCCAAAGTAATTATACCAATAGGAGTTTGTAATGAAATAGCTTAGAAATAATAAAACCCAGATTAACTAGGACCCAGTTAACTGGAACTTTCAATTATCCATATTTTAGTCTGTTTTTCTCATTTAGAAAAATAGCCAGCTGACGATAAAACTTTTGGAGTTAAACATCACTCTTTTATTATATCAAGGAAAATTCAGAGTTCTAACAACCATCTTTTAAAAGAGATATGTTTCAAATAGGAAGCCCCCTAATTTTCAGGTATCAAAGATCATTACAAAGTCGGTCTACTTTTCTGTAGTTTTCACAGACATATCTACTATGCTATGAAAAAGGGGACTAGATTAGGTGTCAAGACCCATCCAAGGTGGCCACTATCTAAGTGTGTGGCCTTGGATAACTACTTTCCCTTCTTTATATCTCACTGTACTCATGTGTGGAATGGGGAGGATAGATCTGCCCCCTGCGAGCCCTAAAATGATTTTAAATCTAATAATCATTGAATCTTTAGAATTATTGCTCTGAGGCCCTGCCAGATCTCCAATTAAGATGAGCAATTTTTGTTGCTGTTGTTGTTCAGAATAGTTGTAATGTATTGTGTACTAGGGGAATTGGATACCTATTTTCAGAGAAAACAGTGAAGTTAGGTCACTGACCCATGGTCACATTGTCAGAGTTGCAGTATCAGATTGGTAAAAGAACCCAGGACTCTCTGACTACAGAGTTCATGTCTTTCCCCAACATCAGTGAGTGTATCCTAAAGGCTGTGTTGAATTTGGGATTTTGAAATAGGAAATTTTGTCATCCCATTCATTGTATAAACTGAAGACAGACCAGAAATAACTACTAAAATCCTATGGCTTTGCTCTGAAGTCTAAGAATTACAGGAAATAGGGAGGTGGGTTCAATATCAGTCAAAGACACAATATAATAAAAGCTTAAAATAAATATTTATTTAATTTCAAATTAAAATTTACATAGTTTGGGCACCTAAATAGATATTATTGCCTCTGTTGAATTAGGATTACTTGCTTCACCATTGATTAGAATAATGTTAGAGAATTGTTCCTTAAGCCAACAACACATTTTTTTCAAATGTTTCAGGCTTGATGGCAAATTCTCCTCTTCTGAAGATGAATTGTATCTTGGAATTGGTAAAATGTCAATAAACCTCTTAAGAGAAAACTGTTTATCTTCCTTATTTTACATTCCACAGGGACTATTCTAGTATCTTTTGTTGTTGTTCAGTCACTCAGTTATATCTGGTATCTTTTACTTAATGTTTAGTCAGTAAATAATTTTTAAAAATGTGATTTATTATTTTTTACTATACTAAGTGTGAGTGAGAACTTTGTGAAATTCTTGCTTTTAATTGGTGTATTAGTTAGAGTTTTCTGGAGAACAATAGGCTATATAGAGGTATTATTTATTATATGATATTTGCTCAGGTGATTATGGAGACTGAGTTGTCAACAAGCTGGAGACCCAATATAGTTCTGAAGGTTGGAAAACCAGGAGCCCAAGGATGGGAGAAAGTAACTGTCCCAGCTCAGTAGTCAGAGAATTGATTCGGCTTTCCTCCACCTTTTAACTTTATTCAACTCCTCATTTGATTAGATGGCACCCACACACAGAGAAAAGGGCCATCTGATTTACTTAGTCCACTAACTCAAATGCTAGTCTTATCTAGAAACACTCTCACAGATAGACCCAGAAATAACGTGTAATCAGTTTTTTGGCCATCCCTTAGTTCAGGCAAGTTGACAGATAAAATTGACCATCATAAAGGGTTTATGTGGCAGAGGAAGAGGAGTCATTTACGATAAACTTTTTGCTTGTTGTTTTGATTGTATCCAGGAATACTCTTTAAAAAACCACTGTTAGAAGCTACTAAAATTGAAGTATGTTGTAATGTCTGCTATTTCTATTGGGGTTCATAGAGGCATGTCTCAGAGGCAGGAGCAAAGGCTTGCATCATAGGAAATTGTTTTTGTTTTTTTGGAAACATTCAAATGATACATTTCCCTACTTACAGTGTTTTAGGTCATAGGTGCTGAGTAGCCCTTCACATTTTTCATGTGGTGGCTCAGATGAAACTCTGCAATGTAAAATTACAAGTTAAGATGCCTGTTAATGCTAAGTCCACCCAAGGATGACTTGCCTTGGGAAAGCTGTCCTGGGATTCTACACTTGACATCAGACAGGCAGTGACTCTGTGTATCTGTGCTGGAAAGTATTTCTCATAAAAACCCTCATATAAGACATAGAACACTCAAATCATTTAAACTCAGGTGTGTGGGAAAAATTACTTTCCGTGACTTTACTTGGTAATAGTCACTCCCCCCTTCATTTTCTCCTGTGAAAAATAAACCCAACCATGTATTTTCCATGATGGTTTTAAGCATTTCAAATTATTAGTTGCAGACTTGAAGGATTTTAAACAAGGGTAGTGAACATCACTCAGTTGTGTCTGACTCTTTGCTTCTGCAGGCCAGAATACTGGAGTGCATAGCCTTTCCCTTCTCCAAGGGATCTTCCCAACCCAGGGATCAAACCTGGGTCTCCCACATGGTGGGTGGATTCTTTACCAGCTGAGCTACAGGGGAAGCCCAAGAATACTGGAGTGGGTAATCTATCCCTTCTCCAGGGGATCTTCCTGACCCAGGAATCAAACAGGGGTCTCCTGCATTGCAGGCAGATTCTTTACTGACTGAGCTATCAGGGAAGCCCTAAACAAGGGGAAAACCTACACAAATCTCCATGATCCTAGGACAAGAAGAGATTTTTGGGGATGGGGACACTATACTCTTTGCCGAGAAACACACAATTATCTCACCAACTGAAACACTGTGCCCATTTTTCTTCTGGAAGAGTCCACACTTGTATGTAAAGATTCCTATTAAGGCTGATCTTTCAGAAATGAAGTTGGAAGGGCCAGGATTGCTGTGGCAGATAGGCAGATTCTGCGTTTTATCCCTCCTGCCTGTGAAGCAGCACATCCTATTATGTTTTAAGGAATCACATTTTGCTACTCCTTGCAGTCTTGCAGCATTTCTAATTAAAAGAGCCTGCACTTCTGAACAGGTTTGGTAAGCTTTTAAATACACTTTTTGTGTTTATTTCCCTTTATTTGTGTTTTCAGTGGCATTTTTGATATTGCCTTTAGCAAAGGAGGAATATGGAATGCTTAGATACAGTGCTGTTAAAGTGCTTATAGCAGTAGTGTGTGGTTACTTACATAAATAGATATGAAACATCTGCTGAAGTATAGAAGTTTCAGCTGGACCAATGGTTTTTCCGAGAGCAGCCTTTGAAGTGAAGGTATATAGGCTGGCTTGAAAGTTGATCTAAGATAATTTTTTTAAGGAATTGGAAATATTTGCATTTAATTCTGGAGAGACTAAGGAGTGAAGGTGGAGAGATTGAAACAATGGGAAATAGGAGTAGATAAAGGAAAGTTTGAAATGGCCAGAGTGGAACTGAAAAGGTCAAATTGTGAAGAGACTCAGGCTTCAGATAGAAAAGAATCTGCCTGCAATGTGAGAGATGTGGGCTCGATCCCTGGGTTGGGAAGATCCCCTGGAGAAGGGAGTGACTACCCACGTCTCTGTTCCTGCCTGGAGAATTCCATGGACAGAGGAGCCTGGAGGGCTAAAGTCCATGGGATAGCAAAGAGTCAGACAGGACTGAGCGATTGACACCAGCACTCAGGCATCTGTGGGTGGATTAAGACATCTGGAGGCTGAGGCCTTGTCCTCAGGCAGTGCACCCCTGTTCTCAGATGTCATAAAGAAACACAAAGACTAAGCAACATTCCCCAGATCATATGGCTAGAAGATGATGGATCTGGGATTGAAAGCAGGAGGTCTGGAACAACATTACTTTTACTATTGAAAATGCCTTTGTAATATATGTCCTGCATTATGCCATCTCTATTTT